CTGTGTCCGGCAATGCTATTTAGCACTAAGACTCCATCTGGGCAACACAAAGTAGTCTGTGAATGTAACAAAATTAAGAAACATAGAGAGTATAGTCTGCACCAAGTTTAAAAGATGTATAATCACTCATTATACATGAAAACAATAGAATGAAGCTTAGTTAAATGTACTTTTTAAGTAGACACCAGACACTACCTTATAATGAAAGAAGTAAAAAGGAAAAAAAAAATTACAAAAGACATTCTTTCCTTCTTAAACTGAGCTAAGATAAAGTTCCAAATATTTGCTTTATTTAATCTTAGCCACTTTTATAAAATGCTCCATTGGCCCTATATTTAGCAGTTGGTAGTTAGTACTGGTTCCATCATAAAACTCCTTTACCACTCACTCTCCAGCGGCAGTAATCTCTTACTGGGATCTTTCAAGCCAACTGGGAAGAGCAGGGAACGTGGACCTGGACCTCCCACTCCCACTTCCCACCAGCCATCTCTTACCTATGGTGTGATCTCAGTCAAGTCACCCAGCTTTTCATTACCTTAGGGTTTTCATTGTTAAAATGAGGCATTTCAACCTAGTGGTCTGTAAGGCCTCTTGTAGCTAAGTACAGAGAGACTGCGCCGGTGATGAAGAGCGTGAATGTTAAAATCAAACCTCCTTGACTTGAATCCCAGCTATATATCTTACTAGCTTTGTAACCTTGGACAAGCCATTTAGCCTCTCTGTGCTTTGGTTTTCTCATCTGTGAAATGGACTGCTAACAGTACCACCTCACAAGATTGCCATGAGGATTAAACAAGTGAATGTCAAACAGGTGGCGTATCATTAATGCTCAGTACATGGTAGTTAAAATTTAAAATTCTGTAATTATATAGAGGGAATTTTATTTATTTATTTTTAGCAACTAGAAGAAGTCCTCTGGGAAAGGCACCTGTATTACCAGGATGCCCTGGGGAATGAGCTTAGGACAGGTTCCTCCTAACTCACGCAGGTTGGAAGGCACAGTTTATATTTGCTTTTGGGGAGGAGGGTATAGGGAGAAGACTCTTCCAGATCTAAAATCCTACTTCTAATTCTACTCAGAGTCCTCTATTAGCTAAATTTCTGAAGTCTCTTTTATGGCAAAGGAATGGAATAGAGCCATGTTTAACCCCAAATGTTGTTAATTCTCTGGCAGTATGATTTATCTTATTACCTGATTTGTTAAAGAAACCAGACCATTTAGCAACAAAATCGAAAGAAGTTTAAAAACTGCTGGACCATTATGTGTCACAGCCAATGTGTTACACAAAAATACAGTTGTTTTGTTTATGTGTGTGTTTATTCATTCATTTATAGATATTTGCTGATCACCCACCATGTGCCAGGCACTATTCATGTGTCCTAGGGGGGAAGCAGTGAACAACAACAAAAAGTCCCTGTTTTTATAAACCTCACATTCTACTTAGGGAGTCAAATTACCTATGATAATATAGGCAGTGACTAGTGTGGCAAAGAAAAATAAACCAGGATAAAGGAATAGAATGGAATGTAGGGGTGGGGGTTTTTAAATAAAATAGGCAGAGTGGTTCTCTCTAAGGAGAGAACAGAAACTGGGATAAAGGGAATGAGTGATTCCAGGCATTCCAGGCAGAGATAACAGCAAGTGGGAGGCTCTGCAGTCATGTTTGCAGCAGCAGAGAAGGCCCACATGTCAGGAGCAGAGTGAGCCAAGAGGAGAGGGTAGGGAGTTGAAGAGGAAGCGCACCTGCTCATGCTCAGCGGCTGCGGCGAGAACTTGGGTTTTTATTCCTCCTGCGACACAAAAACATGGGAAGGTTTTGAACAAGGTAGTGATGGGATCTGATTTGTATTTTTAAAAGAACCTGGCTGTGGTATGGAGAATAAACTGCAGAAAAGGGAACGGGCAAAGGCAGGGAACTCAGGCGGCCACGGGAGCAATCCAGTGTTGACTGGGGGCAGATGGCGGCTGAGGAGCAGACTTGGAGGGCTCCGATTTGGGAGGTACTTTGATGGTGGAACTATCTGTCTACTAAGAGAAGACAGTTTGGGGCATGCCATGTTTGTGACACCTGTTAGACATTCATGCGGACATACTGAGAGGGAGGTCAGCTACAGCAGTCTTGAGTCCAAGAGCTGCAGATTTTTTTTTTTTTTTTTTTTTTTTTTGAGACAGAGTTTCCCTCTTGTCACCCAATATGGAGTGCAGTGGTGCAATCTCGGCTCACTACAACCTCTGCTTCCCGGGTGCAATAGATTCTCCTGCCTCAACCTCTGAAATATCTGGGATTTCAAGTGTGCACCACCACGCCCAGCTAATTTTGTATTTTTTCAGTAGAGACAGCATTTCATCATGTTGGTCAGGCTGGTCTCAAACTCCTGACCTAAAGTGATCCACCCACCTCGGGCTCCCAAAGTGCTGGGATTACAGGTGTGAGCCACCACACCCGGCTAGAGTTACAGATATTAACAGGAGTCATCAGTACGCAGAGGTGGTGAGAACCACGACATTAAATGAGGCCATATAGGAAATGGAAGAGGAAGACTTCCAAGACTTAGGTCACCTAGAGTTGGGGAGTAGAAGGAAGATCCTACAAAGGGAAGGGAGCAAAAGCCTTGGTGGGGTTGGAGGAAAACAGGAGAGTGAGTTCTCCTGAAGTCACATGGAGGGAATGTTTGATGAGGAGGAGGTAGTCAACTACATTGAGTGCTGCAGTGAGATGCATGAGCTGAGCCTCCGGCCGTGTCCAATACAGTACACTAATTCAGTATGAGAGATGCCTACCTTCTGCTGACTTCAGAGACCAGCTTGCAGAAGGTCACTGGGCTTCACCTGGCATAGCAACATTCATTTAACCATATTTGCTCCAGGATTTTTAATATAAAGTATTTGATGAGAAGAACTAAGATTCTTCTACAGGATCAACTATGCAGTTACTAAGTTAAACTTAAAAAAAAATTGCTGCCAACTACAAAATCTAACCATATATGGTGGGTTACTGGTGTTAACTCCAGTCCTCCTTCCTGTGGAGTTGGTGAAGCCTTTTCTGGGAGCCTGAAGGAAATACCCGTACCCTGTCTGGGTCCTATTAATAACTCATCCTGGTTCCTGATTGTGTGTTGATCTTTCCCTGTGTTCCATGCCAGTTTGTATTAGAATGGTCACAATTGGGCTGATGTATTCATTACACATAATTCTCATTCTGTTTCAAGAGTTCCAAATCCTTTATGTTCAGCCTTCCTCAGCTGTACTGCTCATTCTTGTTCATCATTTGCTCCTTCATAGACCCAAGTAGTGCAGAAAGTTAAGGAGGTTTACTTTCCTTCATGTGCCCTTTGTGTGGCTGGCCTGCTGCCTCTGTTGAATAGCTTCTGTCTCCCTGTGGTGTGCCAGTGGGAGTGCTGACAAGGCTTACCTGATTTTTGGCAGGGAAAGAACAACTTCTAAAGCAAGTTGCTATAGTTACCAAGTCTTCCCACTGCATAGCAGTCACTGACTCTATGCTACTTTTTAATGTTGCTCTATCAGACATTCTCCTTGGGTATGGCAGCTTGGGGTTTTGTTATTTAATCATTTCATGCCCACTTATGCGTGGGTTACATAGAGAGTGAGGAGAACAGGGTCCTATTATGGGGAGCATACACGTACACCCACACATGCGTACATGCATATTTCAGGTTTGACATGCCTGAAACCACAGCTGTTTTTCCACCCAGATTTCTTGCACCGAGTCCATTTTAGAAGGTTTTCTACAAGGATAACAGATTGTATGTGGAATCATTTTGTACATTCCAAAGAAATGTTTGTGTCTATGTTTCTAGACACAAATTATGTGCGTGGAAAGTTTCCCCAATTCTTTTCTCAGTAATTATCTATTTTCTATCTCTAGGAGAAAAAAATAAAATAGAAGTTGATTATAGATGAAATGATTCATTTGTGAGCATTTTTGAAAGTTAATGTTTCAGATCAGACCCATTGTTGAGCTTTTTCTATTGTTTGTGCATGACTGTAATTACTAGAAATTGTGACATTTGGAGGCTAATTGAACTGCTGTCTTATCTGACAGGCACAAGTGTTCTGGGTAGAAATTCAGAAACTAATATAGTGGGTGATGAACATTATGTGAACATCATAGAGCTTTTCTCCCCACTTAATCGACCTGCTGTCGAGGAAACACACACACATCACTAACCAGAATTGTAGTTAGTCCAGCATCATGATGTAGGCAAGGTGGCAGAGCTTGGCATGGTCCTGGGTCTCGCTTCCCATCAGTTCCTCAGCCCCATCCTCTCAGCCTCCCAGAGCTGTCTCACCTGGCCAGGCTCCGGAATGGCCGGGAGTGAACAGCCCCTGGCCCACTCTTACAGTTGGCTTTCTGGGTGGAGGTTCGGCTTTGCTTTTCCCTCCGGTCTGTGCAACTTCGTGGCTCTGTGCGCTGATGCCGGCAGCACTAGGTCTTTGGCACCTACAGCTCAGGTTCTTGGGCAGATTGATTTGGGGATCACTGCCTCTGTATAAGGATATTGGTCCTAACTAATGACTGACACCAAAGTAAGGAGGCCTTTGGCCTGTCACTGCCTCTGAGGTACGCAAGGATGGGGTCAGCTTAGGGACTGCATAGACTAAAACACGACACAGTGATTTGGAGAACGAACGTTGGACAAAATGGTAGCCATGTCTCTCTCCCACAGAGCTGGTGGGTGGGCTCCTTTCAGCTGTTTCTTACCATGAAATTAACAAATAGGTGTGTTGAACCCCAGACAAGTTTCTCCAAAGACAAACTTGAGTCAGAGCAGCCACCAGTCTGGGGAGAAGGAGGTGCCTGCCCTGGCTAGGACCCTGGCAGTCCCAAAGACCCTGAGAATCCACTCAGCCTGCATCACCCCTGTACCCAGTCCTTCCACACCTGAAAAGCTGACCCTCCTTTCACCCATGGACGTGCACTCTCCAGGCAGAATGGGCCCCTCTATCACTTCTCCCACCTCGGCTGCCTGCCATGTTGTCACCCACTCGTGAGGCTGTTCGCAGCTGGTTCCAGGTCCCAGGGAGAGCTCAGTGTGATCACAGGTTTCAGAGCTCTCTGGAAGAAGAGAGAAGAGAGACTAAATTGGTCTCCCCGAACTCTCACTTCTTTCTCCTTGACCCAGGAAGACCATCAAGCTCTGTTGCTCCTGCCTCCCTGCCTGGAGCCTGGAAACTCAGGCAGCTGGCTGTGTCAATTTCAGGAGATGTACCTCATTTATTTCTCTTCTCTCAGGGATCACTGCCCTGTGCTGCCTGAAAACCATCGTTGAACGTCTGAGAACCATGGTTGTATACACCTTGTCTGTTTTGGTAGCTGTTTAAAGAAGGAGGGTAATTCTGGTCCCTGTTAGTCTATCATGGCCATAAGCAAAGTCCTCTTCTTCATTAAACACTTCTTTCCCATTAACTTCCGAGACCTGACGTTCTCCTGCCTTGTCTCTAACTCTCCTCTTAGCCCCCTTGGCAGGCTCATTAACTACTGGAGTTCCTCAATCATCCACCATCCTGTTCTTATCTCCTCCCATTCTGTAATTGCTCCCTGGGTGAACTCACCATGCTGAAGGCTTTGGTAGCCACCTCTACCATAAATGAGGTTTCTAGTCCAGAGCTCCTGTCGCTAGGACTTCAACTAGGATTTCTTGCACTGGAACCATTTTAGAAGGCTTTCTACAATAACAGATTGTATGTGAAATCATTTTGTACATTCTAAAGAAATGTTTGTTTCTATGTTTTTAGACACAAATTATGTGTGTGGAAAGTTTCCTCAATTATTTTTCTCAGTAATTATCTATTTTGTATCTCTAGGAGAAAAAAAATAGAATTTGATTATAGATGAAATGATTCCCAGATATCCAACTGCCTCTGACTCCACTACCTGTATATTTCTGTGCATCTCAACTCAACATGTCCGAACATGTTCGTTGTCTTTACTCAGATTTGATCCCTCTCCAACTACATAACCAGTTATGAAGCCAAAGCCCACATATATTTCTTAACACCACCTTCTCCCTCCCCACCACATCAAATCCACTGCCTAGCCTTGCTGCCTTGGTGACCCTTCTTCAGAAAGAGCTCTGATGCCTATTTCCTTCCCCATCTGCACAGCTGCCACCTCTGGTCCAAGGAGTAACCTCTTAACCCATCTCTACCATTTCATTCTATTTTGTTCTCTGCTGCAGCCAATAGTGACTCCTTAAAAATGCAAATCTGATTATTTTGCGTGACTGCTTCAAATACTTCAAAGACTTTCCATTGTTCTACCTGATCTGTCCCCCTCTGGTCTCGGATTACAGCACACTCCCTTCAGTCTCCCATTTCTACCGTCACTGGCCTTATTTCAGTTCCCTAGAGGCCCACACACCCTCTTGCCACAGGGCCTTAGCACATCCATTCACTCTGCCTGAAATGGGCATCTCCCTGCTTTGCGTTTTCTTCCCTGAGTCAGCTCAGTCACACGTCCTAGGGAAGCCTCATGAGGGCAGGCCCTCTGTTACATGCTTTCATGGTGCCATGTGCCTCATTGCCTTGGCATGTGGCACAGTTATAATTTTACTTTGATTTGTCTAATTCTGTGATTAGTGTTAGTCTTCCTTCCTAGACTTGGTGAGCTCTGTGACAGCTGTTAAACTTCTCTTTCCCCTCGCTGTCATCGTGTTCCCAGCCTTGATGTAGGGTTGGGACTCGATGAAAGTCCTGCTGAGCACACACATGAAATGGTGGGCACCCGGGGAACAGGAGGGGAGCAGCCTGGCTCCTCAGCGCCGGGAGGGGCTCTGGGAGGGGAAGAGGGGTCTGCACACACTGAGGGTTGCAGGGGTCACAGCTGCCCCATCACCATCAGAAGAGAAGCCTCTGCTGGGGCTGGGGCACCCACAGACTTCTGTGCTTCCGACATTGGAAGTGTCCTCTGCTATCAAAATGGCAGAACTCTTCTAAGCTTTTAAAGTGATCCACTCGACTTTCGTTTCCTTTCCATACTTTCATAAAACATTTAGAGGAAAAAGACAAGCAGGACAAATGGAACTCTCACCTTAATAACCAACAGAGAAGACTACAACTCCAAGCTCTGGGTACTTGCCTGTGCAGCAAGGCCCAGGGCTGCAGGTGCAAAAGCCAGATGCCACCTCTGTCCAGAGACCTTCCCAGCTTCAGAGCATCTCTGACTGTGGATTTCTCCAAGGAGCAACAGCACAGCCCCATGCCCCCGCTCATCTTCCCTGACACTTTTGGCACTTTTGTGAGAGAAGCACCAGGAAAGCATGAGAGTGAGCCTGGGGCCGGGCCTCAGGGGACCACAGAGCCACATGCAGTACCACAGTCATTTTGGATCCCCTGCATGAAATGAGCAATGTGGTTTGTGCACGTGAGGACCTAGTGGTTAGAAACACAGCAGGTGGTTCTTTGTAGTTTCTTCTTGATGCTTCTTGTGGCCCGCAGCCCGGCAGGGCTTTGCTGTGGGGAGCCTCAGGCCCTTTGTGCAAGGTGAGGTTTAGCTCACAGTCAGGGCTCCCTTCTGAATCAGGCAGGCTCTGGGTGGTTTTGCTACAGCATGAACAGGACCACCTCTTTATGAGATCCTAGGCAAAGACCAAAGTGTTTACACTTAGACAATGTTTCAGCATGTGGCAGGCGAATCTGGGGATGACGGGGAGGGAGAGGGAGGGAGAGGGAGCGAATGCGTTATAATGACTGTCCCAGAAGGAGAGTTACTAGCTGTGCTCTGACAGCAGATTGCATTTGTTCTCAAAGAATGCAACAACTCTTGATTCTGCCTTGGAAACTGAAAAACAACATTCCCCTAGCTCTGATCTTTTCAGGAATGGGGGTGGAGGGCAAGGGTAGAGGTTGGGCTGATGAGGAGCCATGGTGGGGCAGCCATTCCTGGGGCTTCATTGTCAGCCTCTCCTCTCTGGGACCCTGCGTGGAAAGCACCACCTCAGCACTGAGGGGAAGCCCCATCACCCAGAGCCCTCTGTCCCATCCCCCTGGAGCCTGACATTTTTGCTGCTGAAGTTGCAAAGGCATCTGAAGCTCACCTTAGTGGCCTAGGGCTTCCCGCTCCCCTTTGGGAATTTTCGACATGAAAGCAGAAGGCCTGGCACAAAGAAGTGTGTGTGGTGTGTGTGCATGTGCATGTGTGTGTGTGTGTAATGAAACTAGGCCTGGGGCATGGAGTGACAGGCGCCTGGCCAAGGGAACTGGAAGTGAACAGCCCAGTGGATGTTAATATTCCACATTCCTGCCCAAGTGAGGATGGGAATCCCTCAGAATAAAAAGTATCCAAAGTCTTGAGAGTCAGATTTTGTAATCAAATGCCAAGTTTCCCATTTGACCAAGTTACTTATGTTCTCAGAGCCTTGGTTTCCATATCTATAAAGTAGGAATATTGCTATCTATCTCCTGGGATGTGTTAGGTCCAGTTCCTGGGGAACAGACTCTGAGGCAGAGATGGGGAATGGGGGCCAATGCCTGCAGGGGCAGGAAGGACTCAGGACTGGGCAGAGGAGTGGTTGGGACAAGTACAAGACCTCAGCCAGTTTCACAGGATGCTCTGACGGATGGCCTTTCAGAGTTGTACCACCTTCAGTCAAGGGGGCCAGGGTCTTTGTATCTCATCTACAATTCCCCACCAGCCAGCCACTGGCCACTGGCCGCCCCTGGGGACAGGGTTCCTAGGGTAAGGAGACTTAGTGTGAGCCCCCAGACACGAACACTGCATCCCTCCTGCACCAGCTGAAGAGGGCTTGGGCTGTGCACTATAGCAACTCCTGCAGGGCTGTGGGAGGGAATCAAATGACACAGAACATATATATTATATATATATATATATACACACTATGATACAGAGCATATATAGTGACAACAACAGCAAACCAACTGATTCATCGTGCCCAGGCTTATCCTTGGAAAAAGTGGGCTTGTGTTTTTAAAGTTATCAGATGTCCTTCAACGCAATGGCCCTCGGGGTAGAGGAAAAAGTTTTGTTTCAAACTTATTTAGTGGGAGGAGGCTGGATGGTCCCAGCCCAGCTGGACGGAGGCAAGGTTTGGAATAAAAGAGATGAAAATGGCCTTGATTTTAAAGTGTGTGATGGGGCTGGGTGCAGTGGCTCATGCCTGTAATCCCAGCACTTTGGGAGGCCGAGGCAGGAGGAGCACCTGAGATCAGGAGTTCGAGACCAGCCTTGCCAACATGGTGAAACCCTCTCTACTAAACACACACACGCACACACACACACACAAATTAACTGGGCATGGTGGCAGATGCCTGTAATCCCAGCTACTAGGGAGGCTGAGGTGGAAGAATCCCTTGGACCCAGGAGGCGGAGGTTGCAGTGAGCCGAGATCGTGCCACTGCACTTCAGCCTGGGTGACAGAGCAAGACTCTATCTCAAATAAATAAATAAAGTATGTGATAGGAGAGGAAGAAAAATTCTTTAACACTGAGAGCGGATCTGTGGACATGGATTCTGGAATTTGTGAATGTTGGACCCCATCTCATTTCTAGTTAGTTCTCTAGGAGGTGGTATATGCATTTAGGGGTAGGAAGATTATACATTATGGGTGATTACTTTGGAAATCTCAGAGAAAACTCCCTGGGCTGGTGGTGGCTGGCACAGACGGAGCCGAGCAGCCTGTCTCCAGAGACTAAGTCCCCCAACAGGCCTGTGGGAGCCAACAAGCAGGTGCCCTTTCAGCAAAGATGTAGGCTGCAGGAGACTCATTATTCTGGGACTTCTGTAAGGTCCAAGGAAGGGAAAGCTTCCTTCATCACCGAGACTGACTTTTCTCCTAGCCGGGTGGGAGGGGGCCCAGAGTGGGTTATCTAATTTAGACAAGTAGATGAAAAGAAATTTATGGAGTAAATTTCATACTCAACTCACATATTTAGTACTTAACAAATGCCTGGATTTAGCGGGTACACAATAAAATAATCCATTCCTTTTTCTTTTTTATTCCCTTTTGTCAGGGATGTACCTATGCCTTTTAACCAGCTGAACCTTTTCTTGTTAAAAAAACAAACTGGAAAGAAGGATATACTTCTTTGTTAGCTTTACCAATCAATTACAAACAGCGATTAACTATTTACTATATTAGGTTGCTAGCAAGATGGTAAAACTAGCTCAAGCTGCTTGCTAATCAATGCTGCAGAAAAACAGAAGCAATGGGGAAATGTACATTTGGGGAAACAAACAAAAACAACAATGAAAGCAACGAACAAAACTCCCCAATAAACAGGAGCCATGGTGGGGCAGCCATTCCTGGGGCTTCGTTGTCAGCCTCTCCTCTCTGGGACCCTGCGTGGAAAGCACCACCTCAGACTGAGGGGAAGCCCCATCACCCAGAGCCCTCTGTCCCATCCTCCTGGAGCCTGACATTTTGCTGCTGAAGTTGCAAAGCCAACTTGAAGCTCACCTTAGTGGCCTAGGGCTTCCCGCTCCGCTCCCCTTTGGGAATTTTTGACATGAAAGCAGAAAGCCTGGCCCAAAGAAGTGTGGGGTGGGTGGGTGTGTGTGTGTGTGTGTGTGTGTGTGTGTGTGTGTGTAATGAAATTGTACCCCTGGTGCATGAAGATTTTCTTGAACCGTAGTTTGTGGAGGGGTGACTATATCCCAGTGTGGATAAACCCGAGGCAGCAGTGAAGAGACTGTCTGGAGAAAGGCAGTCCTTTGCCACCTCCTCAGTGTAGAGCTCTGTGGCAGCAGCCTGGACTATTGGTACAGGTGTCTGCAGAGCAAGTTCATGGCAGCACCAAAGCTCTGCCAAAGCGAAAAAGTGATGAAAACATCTGTAGACTGAACAACTAACCTTCTACATTCATCCATTATGTCCTCTCCACAGCCCAAGTGATGGGACCGTCTCTTTTCCATCTTGCCTTATCCTAAAGGTTTTAAGATGAAACCTTGCCCCGAGAAGTTGTCTGGCTACTCTAAGCCAACAGCCCACAGGAATCAGTCGTGATTCCACGGTGCATAGGGCTGGCTCTCCACCAAGAGCTTAAGCCATCATTGCGCTTTTCCCGATACACATCACAAAATGGAATAGAGGAAACATTACAGGTAGGGTAAGTAGAGGAGAGGAGAAAAAAAAAGAAGCTCACAAGCCAAAATGACTAGAATAATACAACTACCAAACAAACAAGCAAACTGTACAACATGTACCGTCTGGCAGAAGTATTTGAACAGGTGGACCAAGAATTTAAAATAAGCATTATAAATATGTCTCAAGAAATAAGAAAATATATTAACAAAAATAAAAATCACACAAAAGAACCAAGTAGAAATATTAGGTATGGAAAAGGCAAGCAATGAAGTAACTCCATAGATGGGGTAACTAGTAGGATGGATACTATTAAAGAGCCATTAGTTGAGAGATCAGATTGAAAAACTCTCCCAGAACACAACAGAAAAAGGTCAGAGGAGAAAGAAAATATGTAGTTTTTAAAAAGAAGCTGAGATACGGAAGACAGAGAAATGTCTACATCTGCATCAGATACCTAGAAAGAGGAAAAAAGGAAAAATGACAAAAGGCAGTACTTGAAGACATAATGGGGATACATTTTCTGGAATTAAAGAATTATATCCCACCAATCTCTTAATCAAATGTAATGACATAATAAAAATATCCCCAGGCATATATAGCTTCAAGAGTCTTTCCACAGGAAGATCCACCTTGAAAACACTCTGGGGAGTCCTTAAATAACAAGAGAAATAAATCCACACGAGGAAGCAAGAGTTTTAGGAAGAAACGGTAATCATCTATCTTGGTAGAGTTTACTATTGTCTTAAAAATTAGAATGGGAGGGAATATATTTATGTAGCAGCCCAGAACTAAAGTTCTATCAGCATGATGTAGGGTGTCAAAATGAGAGGAAGCCCAGCGGAACATGAGATTAATAGTAAAGCAAGAAAGATGATACAGATATTGCTAAGTTCAATGAAACGATAGATGTAAACATGATGAGTAAGGAAGGTCAACCACCGTATGGCAAAAGCAATGTATAATTTTTAATCTTACAGAAGAAAACGTGTTCTATTCAATGGAATTTAGGAACAGAGAACAGAAAAAGAAGAATAAAGCAAATGGAAAATAAGACAATGGAACTAAATCCTAATTTAGTAGCAAAAGGGTTAAACTTACCAAAGACGCTGTCAGATTGGATTTAAAAAAAACAAAATATAATACAACAATATGCTGTCTTAAAAACACGCACTAAGGACAGTAAAACAGAAAATTGAGAATAAAAGTATATAGAAAAATACATACCAGGTAATCATAAAGTAAAAGAAAACTAGTGTAGCAATATTAGTATCTTACAAAATAAGAATTTAAGGCACAAAATATCACAAAGGATAGATGATAGACATTATATATGCATAAAAGAAGTAACAAAAAGAAAAGATACATCCATTGTGATCATATATATGTGTAATTAGAAAGCCTCAAAATGTTTCGACCACTGAAAGAATTGCAGAGAGAAATAGACTATTCTACAATTGTAGTTACGGAAACAGGTTGATCAAGCAGACAAAAAAAACAAAAACAAAAACAAAAAACAGAGAGATTAAAGACCTACCAATGAAATTAAACAAGCAAAGATTTCAAGTACACATGGAACATTGACAAAAATAATCTATCAGGCAATAAACGAAAAAATATATGCAGAAGTCAGTAAGAAAAATAGAGCTAAACAATCTCTTCTGTTTAGAAACAGAACAACATACTAAATAGCCTTTGAGTGAAAATTGTAAAGTTTAAAAATACTAAAACTATATCAAAATTGTAGGATCCAGCTGAAAATTTCAGGAAAATTTAGGTTTTAAAAAATATTTTGTATTTCTTTTTGAGACGGAGTCTCCCTCTGCTGCCTAGGCTGGAGTGCCGTGCCACGAACATAACTCACTGCAGCCTGGAACTTCTGAGCTCAAGAGATCCTCCTGCCTCAGCCTCCCAAGGAGCTGGGACAAAAAGGCACGCAGCACCATGCCTGGCTAATTAAAAATTTAGTATTAAATACATTTATTAGGAAACACAATATGTTAATGATAAAGGCAGTCAGCAATTAATGGAAAAACCACAAAAGAGCAACAAAGCAAACAAAAAAGAAGGAAACAATTATAGGGCAGAAATAAAAGAGGGCACAACAAAATCAGTGGAAAGGATTGGCCCAATTTTTTAAAGTATTAAAAAGAGATCTATAGAAACAGGATGAGGAAAAAAACAAGACGTAAATGAAAATACAGAATGGGGAAAAGGAGATCACAACACAAAGATGAGAAGAACGAAGAAGGGCACACAGATGCCTATCTGCCATTAGATTCGAAAGCCTCGCTAGATGAAAGAAAGAAATTCATAGAAAAATACGAGATGCTAAAATTGGTACAGGAAATAAAACTTGAACTAGGTCAGTAGAATTAAACAAATTAAAGTCAAAAGCCTACCTTCCAAAAAAAATCACAGGCTCAGTCCATCTCCCAGGCGAATTGTACCAAACTTCGAATGGTGTGACATGTATTAAAAAGATGTCCATTATCATCCAAATCAAGCTACATATCAAATGCAACTTTAATCAAAATTCCAGCTAGATTGTTTTTTGAGGTACTTGGTTAAATTAATTTATATAAAGACATAAAGATTCGTGACTAATCAACCTTAAAAAAAGAGTGTAAGATAGGGGAGGGGGCTAATCCTACTAGATGGTGACACGCTGTGAAACCACAAGTAATCTTTTAAGTGTAGTTTTGGAGCAAGAACAGAGAAGTTGGTCAAGGGAGAAGAATGGAGAGGTCAGGGACAAACACAGATATATGTGGACATGAATGAAGGACAGATGCGTTGCCACAAATCAACAGGGAAAGGACAGATTGTGTAGTAAAAATGTTATTAGGAAATCTGGCTCACTATATAGAAAAAAAATAAAACTGGGTCCCTACTCAGTACCACATCGCTGGCACACTGAAAATAGACTAGAAACCAAAATGTCTTCTAGATAAAATTATAAAATTAATCCAAGAAAATACCAGAGGTGTCTTTATGACCCAGAAGCAGGGAAAGACTTTCTAAACAAAATTTCAAAAGCATAAATCACATTGCAAAACAACGACAAACAACGCAACAAACAGCAAACAAATGAACTGAATTAAATCAAGATTAAACGTTCCTGTTCAATAAAAAACACCAGGGACAAACTTAAGATGGACAGACGACAGAATAGGAGAAAATATTTGCGATGTCTAAACAAGACCTGAGATTAATATTTAGGTTATACAAGAACCTCTTGCAACTAAAAAATAAAAAGAAGTTCCAACAGAAAAATGAGTAAAGTATAGGGACAGGCAATGTACAGCCACCCCAGAAGCTAATTACATAACACTATACAATACATATGAGGAGATACTAAAAATAACTAATTAGACAATGCAAATTAAAATGTGAGATATTAATTTATGCCAGTTAGTCTGGCAAAAAATACGAAGTTGGATGCTGCCAGCTGTTTATAAGAACGTGGGAACCCGTATGCACTGATAGAGGGAAGGAGTGGCTGTTTCAGTCTTTCTGGAGAGAGCAATCTTGTCCCTTTTAGAAAAGTGTAGCATATGCAACCCTATGCCCACCGAGTCTCTCCTGCATATTTATCCCGAAGAAACTCTCACCAGATCTACAAAGAGATTGCTCATTACAGTATTGTTTGTTGGGGTAAGGAGTTGGAAATGAAATTGGTGCCTCTCACAAGGAGAGCAGAGGTGACACGTGAATGGCACATAGCATGGGTTATTTTGCAGCAGTCGTTCCCAGCCAAGTTACTACGAGATGGCAGCTTGGATGGATCTTGAAGACAGAATGTTCAATGAAAAGTGTAAGAAAGAGGCCGAGCATGGTGGCTCACATCTGTAATCTCAGCACATTGGGAAGCTGAGGCAGGAGTTCCAGACCAGCCTGGGCAACATGTTGAAGCCCTGTTGCTACAAAATACAAAAAAAAAAAAAAAAAAAAAGGAGTGTGGTGGCACACTCCTATAGTCCCAGCTACTCAGGAGGCTGAGGTGGGAGGATGGCTTGAGGCTGCAGTGAGCAGTGATTGTGCCACTGCACTGCAGCCTGGGTGACAGAGCAAGACCCTGTCTCAAAAAAAAAGAAAGAAAAGAAAGCGGCCATAGAATACAATACCACTCACATAAATAAAGTACAGGTATACAAAATAACAACATACATTTTATAGGGACACTGAAACGCAAAATACACATACATGATCTGGAGGAATATTTGCCTATGTGAAAGTGATAGGAAAAGAATGAGGTTGGGTTGTGTGGGTAAAGGAATACATTTTTTTAAATGAGTGAACAAATAAACAAAAAATGTGTGGAACTCATAAACAGCTGGGTAAAGTCATTTTAATGGATACATCATTGAAAAAGTTTCTGTTTCATCATGTCAAGTTGATTTGTGCTTTTGAAACTTTGTTTAAATTTGTGTTGTGCAAAGATTTTAAAAGCTATTGTCATTTCCAAATTGTTCTCATGATATCTCACTGTGTAATGGAGTTTAAAAGATAATTCTAAACGCAAAACTGTGTGTTTCCCGTTTAATTTTAAAAATTGAATTTTAGAAAATACAGCACCTGAAAGGAAAAGGAAGGGAAATCACCAAGTCAGACAATGACAGGATAGCCCGTTCCAGTGCGGTAAATCATTTAAAACAATGGTTGTCACTGTAGTTTTTTCCCTATAGCCATTATATATTTCATGCTGAACTGTGAACTCATTTACTCCTATTTTATCTTCTGGGCGCTGTCACCCTCTCTATGAACACCAACGTGTCTAACTTCCCTGAATCACTGACCCCTTGCCTTCTTAGGGCCAGCATTGGAGACCATGGCAAGGCCTCCCATCCCCAAACGCCTGCTGTCACTGCTGATTTCCTGAAGGCCTCTCTGTCTCTAGGAATCCATTAATAAAATACAAATTGCTCTTTGAAGGGAACTCTTGGTTGAAGCAGATTGGTCAATACTCTTGGATGTGTGGATAGTTGGAAGGCAGCCAACAGTTGGGCAAATGCAGAGAGGAAGAGAGGATTAGGATGGAGGAAGGAAACTGAACAGGGCAGTGAAAACACACTTTCACCCCTCACACTTTTCTGAGGCCGCTTCTCTCCTGGTAAGCTTCAGTGTCCTGTGGAAGATGAGCAAAGGGCATGGTCAGCTGTGGGTTTCCATACAGTTGGGTTCAAATGATGTCAACTTTCGCCTTCCTGTGGGGTTCCCTGGGACTCCGCTGCAGCTTTCTATGTTATTTTCCCAAAGGCTTGATGGGTGCTGAGGCTGCTCCCCTGACTGCAGCCTGTGAGGTGAGTTCTGCAGCTCCATATCCACTGGCTTTTCAACACAGTAAGAAGCCTTGCTGGTGGCCTCCAGTCTGAGATGCACCGCCACCCCCAGCTCTTTTTCCAGCTGACTCTCCAGCTTTCGAGCCCCTGTCTTACCAGGTGTGAGAACCAGTCCTAACTGGCACCACACCCTCACCCTCCCAGGCCACGCACACAGGTGTCAGCAGCGGTCAGGAGGGACTGGTCTTGCTTGCTGCCGGTCAAAGATGACAAACTTCTCTGGGTCTCCAGCTGATGGCCCTTGGGGTTCCTCATGCTGGGGAAGGTCCTGCTCTTGCACAGTCTGTCTGGGGCATCTGGGCTCCTAGAGGCAGCTACAGCCAAGGATGGTTTGAGCACACCCTCCCCTCTGAAAGAATGAGAGGGAACCATTCTGATGTATGCAGGGAGAATGGATGCGCAGCCATTTCCCCAGTCGGTCTCTCGCTTCATGTATTTCTTTTCCATGGGCCCAGTGAACTGCCCCACTGTGGTACACTAGGGAAGGTGTCAGAGACGGCTCTGTTTAATTGTCTTAAAATAGGATTTCTGGGTCGGGCACAGTGGCTCACACCTGTAATCCCAGCAATTTGGGAGGCAAAAGCAGGAAGATCTCTTGAGACCAGGAGTTTGAGACCAGCCTGGGCAACATGGTGAAACTCCGTCTCTACAAAAAATATAAAAATTAGCTGGATGTGGTGGCATATGCCTGCAGTCCCAGCCACTCAGGAGGCTGAGGTGGGAGGATTGCTTGAGCTTGGGATGTTGAGGCTGCAGTGAGCCGTGAGTGTGTCATTGTACTCCAGCCTGGGCAACAGAGTGAGACCCTGACCTCCCACCCACCCCCACTGCCAAACACCAAGAAAAGAACCTCTGCAATAGAATTTTCGATGTTGTCCTTAGTTCAGAAAATTCACTCATAATGTCTTGCCATCGTGTCCCCAGAACCATACAGTGTGGGAGCTGGAAGTCCCCGGCCCTCAACTACTGGTGAGAGCCCTCAAGGCAAAGAGCCTTGCCCAGACCCACAGCCAGGCAGTGGCTGTGCAAGGTCAGAGCCCACAGCTTCAGGCTTGAAGTTCAAGACTCCTTTACTCCTTTGACCCTACATAACTTTAATATATGCAATGGGGACCTGGTTATTCAAAGGTGACTTGGAGAATAGGGAACTGGTATTAAAAGGTGATTTAAGTAGATTTACTCATTATTTGTGTAAAAATTGACACACAGTACAAAAATATAGGATATTGGATTGTTTAAGTACTCAGCACTAGTAAAAGGCATTTTTTCCTTTTTTAAAAGTGTTCATGGAAATGTGTTTGGGATGAAGCAGGCATTCTGGATGATCAACAGGTGGCAGTGTTTCCCTGCTTTATGCAGTCCTGCCAGTCTGTTCAAGGGAGGAATATTGTTCGTGCGTCTGGGATTAGACTCTAATCAAAGGACTTTTTAGAAACTCTGCCAGTTGGAGCGACAATACAGTGCCTGGCAGGGTCCTCCCTGAGCCTCCCGCACCTATTTGACAGCAGGTGGTAATAGAAGGGTCACTGGGTAAAGCACAATCCTCTGCAATGACCCACCTTCATCTCTCGGAGGGAAAAGGGTTGAGGAAGACAGAAAAGCCATGCGCCCATGCTGGGCTTAACTGGATTGTTTATTCCAGTGTAATTTAGAACGTGTTTTGAAATATTTCTTTTCCATTTACTTTTAATTTGAAAGCACAGAGAGGCGTGTTCATAGTAAGAGGTGAGATCTGGGGAGACGGGGCAACCCTGTCCAGTGTGAGCTGCTGTCTGGTGATGTGGATGCAGCCAGCTGGGTCCTTGGGCTGAAGGGACTGGTCCAGGTCAGGTAGGGATGCAGGAAGGAGAGGAAACTACACCAAAATACACAGACCGTTGCCTGTTACTTGTGTGCCCCAGACCAAAAAATAGAGCAATAATAGCAGCAAACCTTTATTGTGGGCTTACTATGTGCCAGGCGCTGTTGAAAGTTTTTCATTTATTTCTTACTACCACCGGGAAGGTAGATACTATTATTATACCCATTTGACAGATGAAGGAACATTGAGTTTCAGAGAGAAAAACCTGACCATATAATTAGTAACAGAGCCAGAATTTGAACCCTAAACCCAGGGAGTCTGACTCCATGCTCCTGCCACTGGTTGACTCCAGCTGTCCTGCGCACACGGGAGCAGAGCCTCGTGAAGCTGAGGCTTGCTGCGGTAGCTCCGGGAGGCCCTGTTTCTTTAAAAAGAGCCATATTCACTGGCTGAGAAGGAACTCTGTGGAGTCGGCCTATGATGCAACAGGGCGCCCTGTCCTGGAAGGGTGCATACTTCACATCTGGATTGAGAGGACTGATTGACTGATTTGGAGCTCATCATTGGTGAAGAATTATACTTACCATTTTGGAATGATAATCGCAAATTCTTGTGGCTTCCTCAAATAGAGGGGGCCCATCCCAGAGTGAAAGTACTGTGGACAGTCTGCATGGAGTCTTGCGGCGTCCTCAGGGCTGCGTGGAACGCCTACCCATGCTGGAGAGGTCAGTAAGGAGCCACAGCCTAGGCCAGGATTTGGCAGGAACAACACTGAAACCTTCCAACTGAAACTGAAGGGATGCTTGCGACGGTTCCAGACCGGAGAGCCATGTTCCCTCTGTTGGGCAGTGATCTCACACAGTACTCAATCTGGGGTAAAACACCTCACCTTTGTATTTGGTTTATGTTTGTGACTTCTACTCCACAGAATGTGGTTTAGGCCTCTATTCATTCAATCCTTCTGAAAGCCTTTACTGACACCTGTTATATACAAGGCTCATATAGGAAGAATAATAATCAGCAGCAGGGACACCAGCTAACATTTGTTAAATGCCTATCAAATACCACATCCTATGCCAGGGATCCTTAAGCCTTAGGAAGCTGGTCTGCTCTGGATTCACATAGTGGGTGGCTCTGGTTTCCCTTGCTTTCACCAAACCCTATGAGGAAGACACTACTAGTATTCTCATTTACATATGAAGAAACTGAGGCCCACGGAGGTTAAGTAACCTGCCCAAGGGCGTATGCTTAGAACATACGGAAGTAGGATTTCAGCCTAAATGTCCAGGGTCCTTGGGCTCAGCCATTGTGCTACGCTGCATACGTGTGGTACATGAATGAGAAAATTGTCCCTGAGGAAGGTCTAGAAAGTGTCCGTCAAAGGTGAATAGCAAGTACCAGGAAAGAATATGAGCCGTCCTCCAGAGTTTGAACCCAGATGTCTGACTCCTAAACCCTGTTCCTAACCATTTGTGCTATACTGTCTGTGTTAGAGAAACAGAGCCAATAGGATATAGATATTTATCTATTCTATATAATAAGGAACTGGTTCACATGATTATGGAGGTTAAGCACTGGGATATATATACATAAAATGAGGAAGTGGCTCATGTGATTATGGAGGCTGAGAGGTTCTGATCTGCTATCTGCAAGCTGGAGGCCCAGGAAAGGGTAATTCAGTTTGAGTCCAAAGGTCACAGAAACAGGGGAGCCAAGGTGTAAGCCCCAGTCTAAGGGTAGGAGAAGATGAGATGAGATGTCTCAGCTTAAGAAGTGAGGTAGGAAAAAAAAGAGGTGAATTCCTCCTTTCTCGGCGTTTTGCTCTATTCAGACCCTCAACGGATGATGCCCACTCACACTGGGAGGGGAGACCCCATTGTGGGATTACTGAGCCCACCGATTCAAATGCCAGTCTCATCCAGCAACATCCCCACAGACACACCCAGAAATAATATTGAATCTGGGCATCCCAAGGCTCAGTCAAATTGATACATAAAATTAACTGCCTATTGAAAAGTATATAGGATGCAAGTTCGGATGCTATAGCAAAGACGGAAACAGCAGTGGACAAAGCAAGAAAGAAGTTGGTTTCTCTTTCATAACCGTTCAGGCCTAGTGGTCCAGGGCTAGTATGCTGGTTCAATGGTGTGGGAGACCCAGGTTCTTTCATCTCATTCCACAGACATCCCCAACACATGGCTTCCATCTGATTGTCTAAGCAGCAGTGACTCCACTTACCATGTCTGCATTCCAGCCAAAGGAGAAGGGGAAGAGAAGGGGAAGCTTCTTTCCCTTTGAAAGCACCATTTGGAAGCCATTTACCTCATTTCTTCTTACATGGCAGTAGTCAGAACTAATTGACTGTACCTTGCTGCAAGGAAGGCTGGGAATATGTTATTAGTGGCCTGAAGTTATACTCTTTTATAACATAGAGAGAATGAATAGTGGAGTATATCTAGCATTTGTTTCCACAGGAAATATTTACCAGAGGTGAGGCATATAGAGGATCAGATGAACGAGGTTGATAGGAGTGTACTGGTCCCTGCTGCAGAGTTAGAGGTGTGGGACCTAGTCAGGCTGCTTGAGTTGTGATGCTGGTTGCATTCTTCGTGTGTGTGATTTTAACCACAGTTACTTTATCTGTAAAATTGGGATAATAACACTTTATTTGGATGTCATGAGTATTAAATGAGATAATTCATCTAAATGTTTCCCTTTTTTTTTTTTTTTTTTGCTTAATCTGGGTTCCCTGGAAAACAGAACATGAGGCAAAGTTGAAGTACTAATGCTTTTTAATGAAGCGCAATAGCAGGGCAGCCAGTGTGAGGCAGGGAAGGATGGGAAGCAAATGCCGGGCCCTGCTGCTGACCTGGCCAAGGCTTCACAAAGACACAGTGTGCCAGCTGGCCCCAGGAGATGCCTTTTGGACAGGCTGGAGGAAGGAATAGCGGGCGACTTGATCTGCAGAATCCCTCCTGATTCCTATCCCCAAACGATCAAAGTTCATCCCCTGTGGAGTTTCATATCCCACACTCTGGGGTGGCATCACCTGACCCTTTTAGAAACTGCTGAGGAGTCCATCCCTGGTGCTTTGTGGTGTGGCTCTTCCTCCACGTCTGGGAGGGGTGCATGGAGTCATCAGCTCTGGCTGCTGGTCAATGACTCCATGCTCTAGTGTGGAATCATCTGGCAGAGTCAGTTGATGCAGGGGCTGTAGAGGTTACATGGATAATGGAGGGTGGAAAGATGTGGAGCTTAAATAGTCTAAGGCAGCTCATAAGATGTATCGAGTCCATTATTGCTTTGACATTAGACAGCACTACCATTCTCTAGCTACGACACCTTAGGTTTAATGCATCCGCACTGAGACTTGGTTTTCTCACATATAAAGAGGTGGTGACAACACCGGCTTGACAAGCTATTATGAGGATTAAATAATGCCGTTGATGTGAAAGGACCTGGTGCTATGCCTGGTAAACAACAGCTTCCTGCCTGGTTTTCCACTCTGCGGTCATGGGAACCGGATCCTCCTTCCCCTGCCAGTGTTT